AGGTAAAAAAGTTTAATTTCAGTCGGCTGAAAATAATGTGAACTTGTCCCGTAAAATTTAGTTAAGATCATTTCATACCAATAATACTGATAAAAGCTCGATTATAAATTAATTTAAACAAGCTATTTGCTTGTAGTAGCGCACTTGGAAATTTAAAATAATCTTAATGGATGCTCTTAATAAATGTTTTATTCGCATAAATCAGAATCACTTGGGAGCTTCCTAGTTTCCTTCCTTCGAATTTACTTGTGTCGTGAAACACGACCTCGTAATCCTTTTGTTTCTTTATTTACCACTGTTTGAAAAACAGCCAGTCAAAGTTAAAGAGGGTTTTAAGTGTGGAGAAGATATTTCAAACGAGTATTGTGGTGTGTGCTAACGATGTAGACAAATATAAGTAGTATGTAATATCAATCGAAAGTGAAATGCCTGGAGGCAGAAGGTTAAGAAGATCGAAGTGAATAGAACAAGAACAAAGAATGATTGATGTGGAGACGAAGTAACAATGAAGTTTGAGGCCATTGGTTGATATTTTGCAAATGGAGTATTTACTGTATGGTTCTTAGATTTTACTAGGAAATTCTATAATCTTATACCAAAATACATTGGTTGTTCCCGCCTATATTCTCATTCACTACAGTACATCTTTGGAATCATATCGGGCTAACAGATTTCCTAAGAGGATTATGCTTATACAAAGTGTTTCGCCGAATCATCAGTACATACTTTGGATGATAAGAAATTAACGCAATAGTTCAATTGTGAACTTTTGAGAAATATACTTGATTCCATTATTTTTAAAGTATAGCAAATCAACAAAAATTGTGCCAATTACAAATATCAACTAATTTTTAGGATTTCTCTAATTTAAAATTTCAAGAAGGAATTAATGTAATACAGTTGCCGACCGAAGACAATGGAAGATGGTTGCGCAAGATCATGGATTGGTTGGAGTTAGACATTGACATTGTTGGATGTTAGCTAAATGGTATAGAGGTTAGGCGCTTATGCGAGACTGAAGTTTCAAAACTCGGATCCTTCGTGTGGGATCTTGAATGCTCATTTCTGAACAGTTCCATACTAGGAAGAAACATCCATCTTGTACTTTCAGGTTTTCAATGGTGATCTAACATTGATTGGTTCATGATTTCAATGAAATGTAAAATGCGCTATCATGAAGTGTTGTAAATAATAAAGCATAGTTTGCACAGAACTAAGATATTTGCAGTATAAATCTAAATAACCGGTTTATAATTCATTGACAACAATTTATGGACGGAAAAAGAATTCGCGAGTTTTCTGTGGAGATTTTAAGTAATTTTTATATATAGTTGAAATCATGAGTCAATTGAAGCTGAACCACCATAGAAAACCTAGAAGCACTGAACGGCCGTTTCGTCCTATTGTGAGACTCCTCATCAGTGCCTCGAGAGATTCGAACTCAGGATGCCGGCTCAGGGGTATAGTGGTTAAGCGCGAGACTGGTAAGTCCTGGGTTCGAGATGGATGTGCACTGCTGAGGAGTCTGACAATAGGACGAAACGGCCGTCCAGTGCTTTCAGGTTTTCTACGGTGGTCTAGCTTCAATTGACTCATGATTTCAACTATAGTTGAAAAAGAATTAGTTAGTAAGAGAGAAGCTTAAAATTAGTAAACAATTATAAAAACGTAAATCAATTATTTGATAAATACACACTAAAAATATATATTCTGACTTACTGAAGAACAGCTTTCAAAGTTTCCTGTTCCCACTTATTAGCTTATCATAAACTCAGAAGTATGTTTAATCGTAGTCGAAACTCGCTAGTGGTTTGTATCTGCATTTCAAAATTGATGTTAACGCTTATAGTTTCAGTGAGAATATCAACGTTGAGATGGAGATACATATCCAGTTAGAAAGAAACATTCTACCGGCATTCCACCGATAGATTTTATCCAAATATAGTCCACCTGTAAATCGAAGTAACCCTTCAAGAAGCGGAAATGTCAACAGAGTCATCAAATTTAATCTTGAGTGTCAGGGAGAAAATACAAACTCCCAAAATTAAAAATGCAAATGACCTTCTTCGTGCTACTTTTTTATCAATTGCGATACATGAGATTAGCTTTGAAGAGTGACCTATTTAATTGTATGGAATAGTGATGATCAATGGGTTACGAGTGAACTTGAACCACCATCTTATTGCTTAGTGAGACAATATTTCACTGACTTATTTTTTATTTATCTAAACACATAAATTTTGGTACAAAGAAGCACCAGGTACATATGCGCCACACAAATCTCATTTGATTTGTGTGAGAGCTGTTATACTGCACAGGTTCCCAAACTGAAGCAGGTGATATTCTTAGGGGACCACACCCGGAGCCTTTGACCTAAAGATCTGATCCACAAGTCAGTGGAGCACCAACGATAGGTTCATACGCCATTTGTTCCATCAGGATCTTGGAGCCCATGTACACCATTGGTTTGGAATCAGGGTTTTCCAACTCCCCTAGGTGGACACTCCACATCCACCAACCCCGTTAAAGCGTCCTCTCAATTTCGTAAACAACAGTAATGAAACGAGAAGGCAGTGAGTAGGACTTTCCTGGTAGAGGCTATATACACTTCCTTAGAGAATGATATACCGCTAGGCTTAATATAAACCTACCAAAATGGGGATGTTACAGTTTATGGCACACAAATTCAAATAAAATTAGGATAGTCATCTAGAGACTAATAAACAAATGCTTTATTCTGATTTGAAATTGCTCAACAGTTATTATCATCATTTACAATTTTACACACAATTTGATCCAATACATTCACACATTACAATGAGTCTATTTTCTTTAAATCTCAAAATAACACCATGAAACAGTTGGTAATCGCTTCTTTGTTTTTAAATGAATTTCTATATGACTTTCAGTCATAAAAATTACACAAAACAATTATCTACTAAGGATTATCAAGTACTTTTGACTATAATCTAACATTCTGTTGCCGGTTTCCCACAAGTGAACTGACCTGTTATTGTTAAAACAAATTAATTGTATGACAAAATAGATTATTCCCCTACCTACGATTCGGTAGTTTAGTATATTTTTAATCCTCAGCTAAGTGCTATTAGGAATTTTGTAATGACAGAAGGTAATAACTATGAGAAACTTTCCGATTTTCAGCAGTCCCTCAGTTAATTTCACATCATAAACATTGAGGAAAGAACCTACTTAGGATCAAGGTTCACCTCCATAACAACAAGTTTAGCCCTTTTACTTGACCATCCACCATAAGTATCTAGTGGTTTGAGGATACATCATTACATGCTTATCACATAATCATCCTCTCCTATTTCCATAAATTATCTCTCATAGTTGTAAGATTACATAAACAATACCCTCGAAAATTAAGTTTCTAATCAATAAATCACATCATGAGATTGTCAAGCTTGTAAAGATCAGTTGCAAATATGTTAGACGTGATTTATTTAAAGTTTATTCACTGTTAAACTTTGATTAACCATGAGAAACCTGAATTAACGCAAGAAAATGTCCTTTGATTATGCCCGATTGATAAGTGTGCGATATACAATGTATTAGCGACCTATTACTTCACCTAAGGCTATAATATGACCGACTATTCTAAGATAACTTAATGGCCAGAATTGACTCAGTATACGATTATTTGGATCCAAGCTCATTGGAACCTATGTTACACAACAGGTCGCCTCTTTTCTAGGTGAATAAAAACATTAGTAATGAGTTAAGCCGTCCTTGTCCTTTGTTAAAAGACTAATCCCATCCAGTAACCGATTTTGAGAAAAACCTGACATCCAGTCAAATTAAACACCAACAAAGCACATCCTTTGTGCACAGGTCATCATAACTATATTAGTGACAAAAGACACAGACCGAAGCTATGCGACAACCTAGAGAAAACAAAACAACAATGGGATCTCTTCACTACTTGTGCTAACCTACCTCCAACCACTAGTCTTTATATGTGAAATAGAGGTAATCTCAGTGCTTTCACATTGAAACAAATATGACATGGAAACCCGTTCGACATATGCAAACCTACCCGTCGCAAGAGATATTCAACACTTAGCAAACTCAGCACTGGGTCTACAAATACACTTATGAAGTAACAATCTATCTAACCGGTAATAAAAGCCAACTTCATATTAAAGTGTATCCGTGCTACCGCAAGTCTTGAGAATATCCCACAAAGCTAATAGTAGCGAGCATCCATCTTGAAAAGGCAGACATAATGCAGAATAGTGAACAAACGTAGTCTCTTCAGGAGTGTTACCAAACCACTCCAAACGCATGACACTTATCTTGGATACAAAATTACTTGTCAGACTAACATTCACGGCAGTAGGACCTTATGTCCACACTGATCCAACAGACCTGCTTATGTGTAAACACTAAGGTATAATACAAGTATCACCGCCAGAACTAAAAAGACGATCCACGACTACAGCTTCAATTGCTACCTGTTGTTACGCCTGCACCTGTCACAACACCGACATAGTACATACTACCTGAAATTTGGTGTTGCATATAGCCGTCTCTTAGCTTAACATGAATTGTTAATCTGACAATGCGCGGCATTGGTCATTCTTATTTCTCAACGGTGATTTTACACTCAATTTCAACATAATCCTAAATAAACTTAATTTACTGCCAGGCGACATTCATGACGAGTCCTACTTAATATAACTAAGGAACACGATAAATTCAGGCTTGCTACACACTAGAGATTTCCCCTTACTATTGAGATTGTAGGTGAGAACAGTGGAAACTGCAGTTTGTTTGAAGTTACTTTGAGGTCCTCGTAATTTAACACCATCGTAACTAGCGTTCTGTTAAGCCAGTGGGAAACTATGAGGCAGAATCCTACACAACCAATCAAGTGGGATGTTTGATACCCAAAAGCTATCAAGAAAACAAATTATTAATGATAATATATTGACAAATGCAGTGGTCAATAAACATTTGGGTTATTTACAATAGTTTCAACTTGAAGGATGCAATAGTGTTTTTGCAGTTACGGAATCTGGGAAGAGTTGGTGATAATTTATTAAAGGAACATATGCTGCAGTAATCAACCGTCCGGAGAAATACCGACCGTGTAACATGTTCACGCATTGAGTTGCGACTGCTATACTAGGACATTTGACGTAAACATTTCCTTGGGCACTGGTGCGATCAACAAAAATATGGAGACATCCGCCGGCCTTGGTACATTCCTCAATAACATCGTCGCGTATTTCTTCGAAAACCGAATGAGTAGCGACATGTGGATCAAACATATTGGATAGCATAAAACATTGTGTGCACACGGGAGGAGCAATTGCGGATGATGAACTAACACTTCCAGCTGAACCTAGTATCGGATTGTTTTGCCCGATATGCAATTGAGCAAGGGCAGCTTTGGGAATTTCTAAGCCAGTGCCTTCAGCGAGTTTTGCCATTAAAGCTAATCTCCCAGTGGTGCCTAGATCAACGCCTGAGCGGTCAGCTTCATCGTTGTCCAGGGCGCTTAGACAAGCATACTCACTGCGTTCGGTTACATGATTCACCTGAAAATTTAAAAGTTACGAATTTATTACTTACTTTCATCGGTCGGCCAGCCAACTCAAACCCGTTTAATTGATCCAGTGCCTTTTTAGCGTCATCACTGTTGACGTATGTTACGAAGCCATAGCCTTGCGAACGGTTAGTAGTAGGGTCCTTGATTAATTTTATGTCCTCTATCTTTCCAAAGGGCTCAAATATACCTTTTAACATTTCTTCTGTGATGTTGTAATGTAAAGAACCTATGTATAATTTCATCGGCCCCCTGTTCTGTTGCGACGGCCGGGGCAACGAGGGAGTGGCACTTACTCGATTCTTCTCAGCGTGGCTTTGTTGAATCTGAATTGGAACGCCTAATAGGCGAGTGCCGGTAAGTCCGAGGGCCAGCTGAGCAGACTCTACTTCACGGAACTCAACGTAGGCTATGCCTTTCGACCTTTTGGTTTTGTTGTCCATGATTAAACGAACATCTCTGATTTTACCCACCGAAGTGAAGAAGTCCTCCAAGTCTCGTTGTCGAATGCGCGCAGAAAGCTGCCAAACGAACACAGTCCGTGCATCTCGCTCTTCTGGGCTAAGTTCAGGACTACAAATTAAAATAAATCAAGACATAAAGGAACATACGATTTCTGACGTCTTTCGGTCCGCGACGACCTGTGGTCATCTCTATTAGACCTATGTCGATCCCGGTCACGCGAACTATGACGGCGTTCACGTCGTCCTCGGTCGGATTCATGATTCTTATCCCGTCGACGTTCCTTGCTCCTGCTGCGCGACTTGTGTCTGCAAAAAGCAACTTGTCGAGAACCCAGGAACCTTACCTTCTGCTACGATCCCTGGAACGTGAACGACCACGTCTTCGATGACCATTGGACTTCGAGTAGCCCTATTGAGCGACAATATTAGCAGATTCAGGAGGTGGAAAGGAATAAAAAAGACAGGCAAGGAAATAAATACTTTCGTAAAACATACCGAAATAATCTATTGATAACTACAGCTGGGGTGGGAAAGGGCCAGACGTCCACAACGACGTCAACGAGGATCGTAGACCCAGAGTATCCTAACAAAACATAAAGAATTTCTGTCAAAATTAGATAACATTATCTTGTGCCAGTCAAGGGACCCTAAACTTAGGACGAGTAAAACATAACATACCTCCCGAGCGTAATGATCCTCAAGCATGGCCTCAACGTCTATGTCGTCAGTCATTGTTTCGCAGTTGAGTGTCGATCAATGGTATAAGCCAAAACTCGTGGTTTAGCCAAAGCAAAGGACGGAGGATACGTTGGGGCGGATTGACTTCTCGGTTAACAAAGGACGCGGCGACCTGACGAACGACAAGTGAGACCTCCTTGAATAAACAAAAGCAGGGTTTCAATATATAAAACGCTTCTTCCAAATTACTGCGAGGGAAATAGAAGAAGGAGTTGTCTAAGTATCTACAGTGCTTAAAAAATATCAGTTGTTAGAGCCATATAAAGACAATGTTCTGGACTTTAATTTTGTGGATCCAAGCCTTGAAAAAGCTTATGACTATATACTCCTGGTCAACATATCTGTTCATTTAATACTTATTTTACAAAACGTTTCCCTATTTGTGACCAAATATTCCCTATTTTTCTCACTTTGACTGTATCTCATCGATGCGTCGCTGAAATTGAGAAACCTCATCTCACAGCACTTTAGTTTCTCACAGTGAAAGCGTCCAGTCTTCCTATTAACACTATATTCTTGTGTCAGGACACGATGCCGATCTACTTGTTACCAAATTATATATCTCATTTTTGGATCCTCTTATTTTTCTCTTAGACATTTTTAATTCCATTATAACTATGGGCACTCCAAAGCCTATCTAAAACCAAGTTCCAACTAATGCTATTTCTGTCCAGTTATATCGAAGACAAAAACTCTACTATTAAGAGACTGACATACATAATAACATGATGACTATCCAAGTTTACAGTTCCTTGAAGTGGTGGGACCACTACCTCCCAAGTTAAACAGGTACATTATCGCCAATATATTTTGCATCAACGTCTTTAAACAGAACGAAACATCCAGTAATAGGATCAAACAGAAATGAAAAGGCTAGACAAATCTTTCTACATTGCTGAATTAAGATATAGGTAACTCACTTATGCTATGAACTATTGGCCTCTATTCTCAAATCCTTTACCGTCCTAGTTTCTATGACAAGTACAAGTTGTTCTAACTTTTTTCATGTTACACGGCCGATGAATAAGTTGTATGGGCCTGTCGGATCTTGAATATTACCAGAACCTGGGGGTTGATGTTTGTTTTATCCCGGAGGAGATTCGTACAGGTCAAAAGAAAGTACAGATCTCTACAGAACACTCACCCTCTTTCGCACCCAAAATAGTTCTACCCTATTACGAGCTTCCTCAAAAGCCACTTGCGAAAATGATCTTCCTAATTACTTAACAAATAAAACCCTGGTCGTTGTTGCTACCATAACACCTACAGCAAATCATCTCGGCAACTCCAGAACACTGCGATCTAAAAATTACTGGGCGTAAATAATATTTCGTACCAAGTCTAAATTACAGGCCATTCAACAGTCCTGGTTATCCCCATTGCATAATTTCTGCATAATGGGCAATAGTGATCGGTGTCCTGGAAGCGACCACCAAAGACTTAACTCGAAAACTCCTGGTCGTTGCCCTTTATCCTACACTCAGAACACCTCAGCAACCCAGAGAGGCATGGCCATTTATTCAAAAATTGACCTCATGGAAGCACATAATAAAGTCCTAATCGTCAACGATGTCATTTCCAAACAGTCATCATAGTTCTCTTCAGACCATGCGAAACTTTGTATATCCACTTTGAACTACAATACGCAGGGCAAACTTCAAAAACCATGGGAGACATTATCAGAGGTCTCAACTTTTGCACGCATAAATTAAAAACTGTCTTATGCAAGTAGAGGTAAGAGACCTCATTTTCAGCATTTGAACGACACACTCTCTGTAACTCAAAGTGGCTGCCGTTCTAAACTACTCCCAACGAACCACAATCAATAACCTGCGAACTTCCATCGGAATGGCTGTTCATAGCATACTGTGGGTATTTCATGAGAATACTGAAAGGCCAATGTCATGAGGATGCAAAAATAATTAAGTTAGAAAGTATGTACATCAGTCAAAAGTACTGTAAAGAAGTCAGCTATGTATGCCCACCATAATACTCAAGCACCTGTCATCACCAACATAGACGCATTTAACTCTTCAACCAGAGCAGCTTCATAGAAATGAATAAGTAGAACTTGGAAATCTCTGGCGTTCTTCTCGAGACGGTTACGAAAGGCCGAGTTCAGGTTTGGTATTTTTGATAGAAAACTCCTAGCCGTGCGCTTTGCTATACAGCAATTTCGGCACTCTATGGAAGGCCTAGAATTACACCTTCTAGCTGACCTTAGTCCCCAATGTTCTTTCTTGACTTATTAACTAACAAGTATTTTCCTTGACAGTCGCGGTAAATTGATTAGGTCTGGTAGTCTACTTTATATATGCTGTGAGGTCTTTTTGTACGCATTTTTGCGTATGTATATACGGTGAGAGTGGGGAATTCCCTCCTATGTTCAGGACACATGACATCTTGATTCTCCCTAAATATCAAGCTACTCTTCTCATTCATCCGTTCTGCATGCCGTTTTTATTTTTCTATCAAACACAAGGTCAGTGCTTACAATTACAACAGCATTTATTTTATTGCGTTACCTCTATTTTTCTTACTTTTCGGTTAACAGTAAATTCTGTTTTACTTGACGTCGGTTCTGTCGGCTACCACATTAGTTCACTGTCCTTGGTTGTACTAGCCTGAATTGATTGATATGAGTCACTCTTTGTAAGTGAATTATGTTTCCGCTTGTTAGGAGCGCCCATTACTGCACACAAGTAGTTGACCTTTCCAATTCTTATCATTTGCTTACCTATTGTCTTGTGGTTTCCGCAACTCACTTTTGAGTGGATCGCTTCGAGCTATGCATCAGAAAAAATCTGTACTCAATGGTGAGTGAAGCCATTGCTATTCCCTGATAAGTAGCCGGTTTTATAGTTTATAACATTTTCTGTGATCAGAATGTTTGCAGCCTTATTGTGTCCGTTTAAAGTGAAAAAAGTGTGGGATTTGGTATAGTTCAGGGTCTTACTCAAAAACGCTTCGTATGTTGCACGGAAGAACGAAGTTATGGTCTAATCAAATGAACTTTGGTTGGTTGGCTCTGCATTCAGACTAAGTATTGGAATTTTGGTCGTCATAATCTGTGTACCTCACAAAGCAGAAATTTAGATAGTACAGGTGGTGGTTATGCATCTCAAGAGTTTAGGGGTGCTGCGTTCACAAGGCACGCCTGTGGCATCTGGTGCATCTGTATTCTCCTTGCTAAGGATGAATTACTTGAGTAGCTTCAAAGGAATGAAATCTGTGGAACTCGGTCGGCTTTAAAAAGAATACATTGACCTTAATCACGAGTTATAGTCAACAACGCTGAAGCTACGAATAAAACAGGTGAAAACAAGTAAGAAAACCTTACTATAAAACATATTTACTGATAGAGGTTGATCAATCCTGCCAAAACATCACTGCCATAACTTCTTCAATACGTTAAATAATTTATATTTGTCTAGGGCATCAAAGGACTTCCAATCTCATTGTTGAAGGACCTTGCTGACCTAGTATAAGTGCCAGAGGGAATGGTCACGCTCCTATTTGAACTGTCAAATATTTAAGGTTATTAAGCATGATAAGTGTGTCTTAGGTTCATGGAGATCGTTTCCACCACTTCTATCCTCTCCTGTTAGAGCCGATGTTCATCAGAGGGATACTATTATCTCTTGATACTTATCAACCATTTCAAACAATGGCCGGGATTAACATCTATCAAGGACATGAATACTGGAACAGAAAACCGCTCTCATGTAGAAAGATGGGTCTCAAGTCTCGACTGCGACCTAAATGCAACGGCTAGTTATGGAAACTGGTTCTTACCTACCTTCTTCCACACCCCCACAAAACCCTCTGAATCAACACGACTCTGGACGACTGCCAATTACTAATGGTCTAAAGGCACACAACAAACGACTGACTCTTTTTCATTTGTTAGTTGTGGATAAAGTGTAACCTAACTGACTTACGATTGGACATCTCAACGTTCGAGAGAACTCGTAGATCCTTATCTGGCTTCACTGAATGTGGCTTTAGGTTCCCATAAGAACTTGACTACAAACGCCGTACATCTAGCTGAGTCTCTCTCAGCTGACGACACTCAGCTTGCATATTCGTTCATATTGCCCCGTGATATAATGCATTGATTTTTCGGGCAGCGACTCAGTAAGCTGACCCCCAAAATCATCTTATGGAGGATCTCCAAACATTCCGCGTAAGAATTAAAAGTAATATTCAGTCAACAGGAATGGAACAGAAGGTAATATCATCAGCGACTAGCTGAAGGCCGCTAAAGTGCAGGGCATCCTTGTGATGAGCCTCCCGCCAGACCATCTAACTACGACGTAAACATAGAAATTGCAATACATTTTTTAACAAGCAAAGATCTCAAGGAAGCCTTAATAATCGCTAACGTCCACCTCAGATCAACACGAAAAACTACTTTGCACAATATATTTTTTCCCTCATTCTGCACGTACCACGGCATTTTTCTTACCTTGTTAGTTTTTAAGACATTTCAAATGCTTAGACTGAAATGTTGAACCCAAGCTATTATAATTTAGATTTTTATCCATCCCCCCATGATGAGACGTTAGCAACTAGTCATTCTCTACCCATAAGGGTAAGAAACAGCTCTTGAGTAACAAAAGGCAATGAGACTGAATTTATATGGAATTTAATTTTTTGGACTTTCGTTATTTGAGTTGGATGTGTGGGGGTGAAGCTTTCATTGTTCTTCTGAACAACATACTTAGAAAAAGGTCAGGACAAAAATGGGCTGTTCGAACTCCACGTACGGTTGACAGTTCTTTCTGGTGACCTTGGCCATGATCAGTTACTGTTGACCATAACCAGTCTTCTAGGTTATTCAACAAAGTTGAACAACTCAGTAAATAAATTCTCAAAGAGACCGATTTGGGGAAACGTCAAACTGTCATTATTCAAAAAGAAATAGAGGTGTTCTGATTAATATCCATGGAACAGTTTTCCACACTTTTCGGAATAGGTAGTTTAAATACCAA